TATATTTTTATTTATTTCAGAGAGAAAGGGAGAGGGAAAGAGAGATAGAAACATCAGTGATGAGAGAGAATCATTGATTGGCTGCCTCCTGAATGCCCCCCACTGGGGATTGAGCCAGCAACCCAGGCATGTGCCCTTAACCGGAATCGAACCTGGGACCCTTCAGTCCACAGGCTGACGCTCTATCCACCGAACCAAACCAGCTAGGGCTACAACTGCGCTTTCCAAAGCACTTGTCCCCAGGTTGTTTTAGGCTGTGCACAGGTAGTTAGCAGACAAGTGGGAAACAGGCCAAACAAAGTTTATTTTTTTCTACCTGTCGGACTTCTTAGGGCTTTTCTTTGCTTGTGTGAACTATGATTCCTAGGGAGGGGTTACACTGGGCAAGATTTCCCCAAATTATTTAACTCCAAGAACACGTTTTTCTGTCTCCTGCAGCTAACGTTCAGGGGGACACAGTGGATAATAAGCATGTGCTTTAGACAGAGACTCAGTTTCCCTCTCTGTGGGATGGAGGTGATCATTCCTGTCTTTCCAGGAGAGGCGGGCATTAGGGGAGACAGCACTGTGGAGGGTCCACTGCAGCCCCTCCACAAAACGGGCTATACAGCGTAAGCTGTCTTCCCTTCCCACTCCTCCACCCAGTTCCTCTTTGGCGGAGACATTGAAGAGGTTTTCAGAGGTATCCTGCTTTGGGTGGGTAAACAGTGTGTAGAGGCATATTTTTCCTGAGCAGAGTTCCTCGCCCTCTGCCTCGAGCGGCTCATATTTGTGGTAAGACAGAAACGCGCTCAGCCATCAGGGTTCCTGGGCAGGATCCCCAGAAGCTTGCCTGGCCTTGGCAGCCTCCCCATTTACCCCAGGGAGCCACACAGGTCTTCTGTGTGCAGGAAGGCTCAAGCATGGCCTAGAAGCGCTCTGTAGAGCGAGGGCTACTGAAGCTGAGAAACACCATGCAAAGCAAAACCAGTGCACAGTCGCTGCCTTGTGCTGGCCTCTGACCACAATCCCATCTCTTTGCCAGGCTGGAAGTGCACCTCGTGGGCGGCTTCAGTGACGATAGGCAGTTGTCACAAAAACTTACTCATCAACTTCTTAGTAAGTTCCCTGTTTCCCCCCCAAATTGGATAAAAATTTGTACCTATTTTTGCTTGGCTAAGAGTCCCAGTGAGGACACAAGAGGGGCACACCTTCCTGGAGTGACATAAACTGCTCAGCTTGGAATCTGACATCAAGACTGAACAGCATACAGCTACATTTTCAGGGGCTAATGGGATGGGACAAGATTTTTTTTAAAGACAGCAGTTGACATACTCTGAATTATGTAAAAACAGAACCACCCTCCAGGAAGAAATGTCCGTTTTAATATGTAGAAAATGAGAACACCGATCATACCATATTTTCCCTACTCAATGAGCAAATATTTTTTTCAAAAACACATATGTTCTGTGTTAACCATGAGGCAGTGAGGTAACAAATTGACACAGTACTGGAATATACGTTGGTACAACCTGAGGGGAAAGCCATTTGGCATCATGGTAAAGTCTTAAAAAGGCTCATATCCTTGGACCCAGTAATTCCCCTTCTGGGAATCTAAGAAAATAATCTGAAATGTGCATAGAATTTATGTCTAAAGATAGATGGGCAGTAGAACATTTGCAACAGGAAATTATCTAATGTTCATTAGTAAAGGAATAATTATGTAGCTATTAAATATAAAATGTCTACATGCTATGAGCTTAGCTGTGCATGGAAAAGTATGGAATACACAGTGTCTTAACTGAGATTATGGGCATTAAAATCCCATATACTTCTACCATTAAAAACCCATTACTCCTTATATTCTCCTGTATTTCCAAATTTTTGCAGTGATCAATTTTTTTATGACTATGATAACAGGAAAAATAGTTACTTAGGAAGAGTAAAAATCTTTAGAGTCATTTTATTCTCCCAAACCTCTCCGAATGAAGAGAGAAATGGAAAGCCTTGGTCACAGTTTCCTTTGGGCTTGAGGCTAGGAACATGGCTGTAACTTGGCAGGCCTGGTAGGCCAGGTGGTGGCTGAAAGGGTAGTAGAACAGAGATGGCTCAGCTGGCTTCCGTCCCTCCGTCCCCTTCTTGACTTGCTCAGCATATGTACTGCTAATTAAAGGAACTTTTTTGACATCCGGTTTTACAATTCTAATTGTAGGTGAATTTGACAGACAAGAAGATGACATTCACTTAGTGACATTGTGTGTGACAGGTAAGTTCTGCCGTCCTGCCCAAAATAAAGTTGTAGATTTCAGGGACGTTTTGCCCTCCCCCTTCAAGCAGGTCCTAGCATCAGTACCTCAGTCATAGAAGACCATTTGCCGATGCTTTGCTTACTTTTGTTCGGGCTTTCCCCATCTGCTGGTCCTGCCCAGTGTCCAAAGCCTGTGCAGCCTCAGTTGAGATGCTGACCCGCTTCAGTGTCGCTCATCTTTCCTTCCCTGGGATTTTCAGAAGCCTGTCTGTACTCCGGGGCAGGCGAAGGGCCACACCCCAGGTGGGAGCTGCCACCTTGTGTGAGACTGCTGAGCATGTAGATGGCTGGGAGCCCCTACCTCTGGAGGTGGCCGTTTGTTCTGTATAAACCCGAGTTTCTCTGAGACTCAGCAAGGAAACAGGAAAACCGTTCCTTTTATGGTCTGTTTTTTCCCCCCTTTAGCAGTGGGGGCTCCTTCTTGGCCTCTATTTTACAAAATGAAAGCAGTTGGTTAGTATTTCTTAAAAATTGGATCTTAAAAATTTTTTTGTTTGTTTGATAGAATTAAATGACCGGGAAGAAAATGAAAACCACTTTCCAATCATTTATGGCATTGGTGAGTAGTGTTTGAGGGTTGGAAACTGGCCACATGTTGACAAGGCAGGCTCTAGTGACAGGAGCTAGTGAGCCCACTGATGTCAGCATGTCACAGCCTTAGTTCTGCTGTGCTTGCTGGGGACCCTGGGCAAGTAGCTTATCTTCTCTAAGCATTATCTTCGAAAGAGGAAATGTCCTCATCCAGACGGGGAGGAGAGAGCCAGGAGCACCTATAGAGCACGGACAGCCACCAGCAATGGAGTGTTAGTGGCGCTCTTCTCTCCCGAGGTAGCCAGCTGTGCTTTTCTCCAGCCATAATAATTTTCTTATATGTAGGGAATCAAGGGAGGTTTTGATTGAGAAGGGAAGTAAAACTATCAGATTAGAGAAAACCCAGAAACCTCCACCCTTTTGGGATGGTCCCTAAGACTCCAGAGGTATAGGATGAAATGCAGAGGGCTTCTACCATGTCTGTAATACTTCATGTATTTAGTTGTGGTGGTGGGTACACAGATGTGTTGTTTTCTGTAACATATATATTTGAAATGCGTAGTAAAAATTAGAAAACAAACAAAAGCACCAGACTTGGCCATGATCACAGGCCCTCTACCCCCAGCCATTTGCAGACACGTTTGGTCACAGGGCTGACCAGGAAGGCCTTGCCACGCACCTGCCTGAAGAGACTGAGTGTCTTCCTGTGGGGCCGGCTCTTGGTCGGGAAGTGTCTTACCGAACCTAGTTCAGCTCAGGTCTCAGCCATTTTGAGTGAGGTACTTGGCTAAAAGATTGCATTGTCCCTCTCCAGGAAGGAGGAAGCTACAGGCATTTAAGAGTAATTTTGTTCAGTTTTCATTCTATTCTGTATTTGAGAGACTTATCCATATTCTGTTATGTATGGTGGGAGAACTGTAGGCCTGTGCAAACTTCCCATGTTTGTCTTTCATCAACTCAGTCATCCTGTTGTCCCTCACAGCTGTCAACGTTAAAACTGCAGAGATCTACAGAGCCTCCTTCCAAGATCGCGGTCCGGAGGAGGAGCTGCGTGCTGCACGAGCTTTAACAGGAGGACCAGTGAGTTTGGAATCATCTTTGTGTTAAGGGGTTAAGGAAAAAAAGGGCATCAAGCTCCAAAGCCTTATAGACCTTAGATATGAAAAGTTCATGTCAGCTTCTTTAAAGCTGTGAATTAATCAGGGGCCATCTCTCTCTCTCTCTCTCTCTCTCTCTCTCTCTCTCTCTCTCTTTCTCTCTCTCTCTGTGTGTGTGTGTGTGTGCGCGCGTGCAATTTTAGGTTATAAGCTCAAGACCCCAATTGATCAAAAGACCAATCAAATCAATTTAAAAGTCTGATTGCCTTAGGGTGCTTTTTAATTAAATAACATTTTTAAGTGATCTTTTTATTTTATATTTATTTTATTATTATTTTTAATCCTTACCTGAGGATATTTTTCCATTGATTTTTAGAGTGGAAGGGAGGGGGAAGAGACAGAGAAAGAGAAACATTGATGTGAGAGACACACATTGATTGGTTGCCTCCCACACACACCCTGACCAGAACCAGGATGGAGCCTGCAACTGAGGTACAGTACATGCCTTTGACCGGAATCGAACCTGGGACCCTTCAGTCCACGGGCAGACGCTCTATCCACTGAACCAAATCAGCTAGGGCTAAATAACATTTTTTAAATATGTGTGTTTTGTTGTTACTGATTTCAGAGAGGAAGAGGGGGAGAGAGACAGAAACATCAATGATGATGAGAGAGAATCACCTATGGACTGCCTCTTGCACATCTCCTACTGGAGATCGAGCCTGCAAGCCAGGCATGTGCCCTGACCAGGAACCAAACTGTTACCTCCTGGCTCGTGAGTTGACTCTCAACCACTGAGCCACATCGGCCAGGCTGAATAACATTTTAATTTTAAAAATTAGAAAAATGGAAACCCAAGACTGACATACCCCGCTTGAAGATTAGGTGAAAGAATCCTTTAAAAATGTGTGTAAAACTGTGAAAAGAATAGAAATAACATTCAAAGCACCCAAAAGAGATCTGCTCATCCATGAAATGCTGACAGTTTCATTGGAAAATAATGTTTGGATCCAGAGTGACCTGTTTTGCCAACCCTTTAACATTTTTAGAGTTCCTTTTATAATTTCTCAAGTAGTATCATAGCCTTGATTTAGCTAATATTCAGAATATATTTCAATCTCAGTAACCAAAATAGAACATTGGCGGGTAAGCTGACAATGACCATTGACAAATTTGAGAATTTAGGGAGTTAGTTGATCATTTGGTAAATTAGCATTTTTACAAATTGTTTTTCCTTTCTTTTGATGGGGCAGCAGGCATTGTGTAAAGTTGCAAGGTAACTTAGTTACTTGGGTATAAATAACAAGGCAGTGTTTTATGTAGCTACGAGGAACATGGACTTCAGTCAGACACACCTGGGTTTGAGGCCCAGCTCTGACACTTACTGGAAATGGGACTGTGGGCTATGTGCCCCATCTCTGAGCCTCAGGTTTTCAACCAAAATGGGGGAAATGTCATCTTCATGCAGGATTGTTGTCAAGACTAATACTTGTTACCCACAAAGTGCAGTACCCGACAGTTGGAAGTATTCAGTAAGTAGCAGCTCTTGTTATTAGGAGACATAATTGTAAAGAAGCTTAACATTCAGATAAATGCCTTAACTGCTAGACTACACTGGAGCATGCTTTAATGGTAGGGTGTGAGAAGCTGAGAGCATTCCTTAAAATCTATCCTTGCAATGTTCTTTTCAGATGGTTAGTATTTACGATGCAAAGACAGAACAACTTCGTATAGGACCGTATTCCTGGGTGCCATTTCCACATGTGGATTTCTGGTTGCAGCAAGATGATAAGCAAATTTTAGAGGTGAGAATTTACAAGTTGGGCAAATCTTAACTCTCTGGACCCTGGTTCCTCATCTGTAAGAAAGAAAAGGGTTTAGACTAAATAATAGCTGCTTTCCCTTCATTGGGTAGTATTTATTTTTAGGATGCCACTGGCAGACCCCACTTAACTTTTGTATCAATGGAGATAAGTAATGTCCTGGGTAGACACTTGCATAGGTGAAGTAGTAAGCAACCAACTGCTCTTTTCTCATGAACCCGGTACACCTGCTCTTACGTATTTTACAGTTTACATGGGTTTATTGAGTGATCTGAGAACATCCTGATTAATGTTTAAAGAACACAAGGATATCTGTCATCTTTATCAAAGCAGGGAACAGAGCGAGGTTATTCTCTCATGCCTCCTATCTTGTTTTTCCAGAACCTTTCCACTTCACCTCTGGCCGAGCCTCCCCACTTTGTTGAACATATTAGAACAACCTTGATGTTTTTAAAAAAATACCCATCTCCAACAAATACACTATTTCCTGGAAATAAAGCTCTACTCTACAAAAAAAATGAAGATGGCTTATGGGAAAAGGTCCCTTCTCCAAGAAGCTAAAAATAGGAATTACCAAAGAAAGCAACTTTTTGGCATGACAGAGACCATTGGTGGGGGTTGGACAGAATATGAATTTGGAATCTACATCCGTTGAGTCTTAGTGTCTTTCAAATGACTTTCAAAATAAAATCTTATTTTGGCAAAGGCATTTGTTACTTTTTGCTTTGCTAAAAAGTTGACATCCAGCTGTTCCTTTTTGGTTAGTGATAAGGGGCAGAGAAGAAGACATCTGCTCACTATTCTATCAGTTATTTCAGTTACTTAGGTAATTCTAATTCTACCAAATTAGTGAATAAAGGGAAATTTATAATTGAGTCTGCTTTAAAAACAATATTTAAAATGCAATAAAGTTCAGTCAGAATTTATACATCTCACTGAGGGTGGTGGGTTTTTTTTGGCCCCAAAATATTTTAGAAGCATCAAATCCAAAACTGATATAAATGTACTTCTAGATGAATGAGATGAAAGGTTCAGAAAGACAAACAGGATTTGATCTCACTGTCCTGCATTATAATTATCTCTAAAATAGATAATTTCCCATGAGAATAAATTTAATCTGAGTGTTACACAAAACCACTGATAAATCTGTTCTTTTAGGTATTAGGTCACTAAAATGCCCAAATTGTGATTATTATGCAAGTTATATTTTTCAGAAATCTTTATTTTTCTGAAGTTTCTGTCTATCCAAGAGGAAGTCACTATGCTTGACTGATAGTAAGATTTATGAACCAAACTCACTGGGAACAATTTCAAGAACCTTTATTGAAACCAACATTCAAATAGTATCTCAGGGGTGAAATTCTGTTTCAGCAAAACCAATTTAACAATTCCAAATATATATAAAAACATTTAAAAATTAATCTTGTTAAAGGTGATAATTTCCCCTTCCCCCATTTTAACTGCTATACTTCATTGCACCAAATAAACAGGGAAGACTTTGTTTAATCATCTGCACACACACAAAAAAAAGATAAAGGAAAATTGCATTTTGACAAATGCCAGATGTCAGAAATCACATCAAATCAGAGTGTAATTATAGGCTTACTGTGGTGTAACTAAGGCTTCCAATACTACAGTCCACAAACCCATTGTAAATTCCCACCGTCTCAAGGTCTCTCAAGCCTGACTGCTGGACTGGAAGGCACGGGCCATTGCCTATGGTGAGTGAAGGGGTGCCGTCCTCTGGAAAAGTAGACATGGGCAGTCATGGAAGGGCTAACCAGTTACTTCAGCAGTAGTCTGGCTTGGTCAGCCTGAGAAAGCTTACTTTTCTCTTTCTTATTTGTGTGTTGGGCCTAAAGGGGTGAGCTGCTAGTGGAACAAAGCTATGGAAGCTCCCATGTGAAGCAGATCAAAAGTATACTTATTTTAGAATTTAAATTTAACTGGGTGCTACACAGCATGTTAAATATTAGGCTTTTAGGAGTAGCATCTATTAGGTTTTCAGATATTAAACATAGAAATGTGCACAGTCTGTTCTCTTGTGCCAATTTAAAAGCTTTACCAATATTTAAAAATATAGATATATATGGTCAAGAAGAGTCTTTACAGTTTCTCTTAATAGATGAGTCATTTAGTTAGTTTAGAAATAGTATATAAAGGGGGAAATGGATTTGTGGCAGAGGAAAGTCACAGACAGAAGCACTGCCCAGTCTAACTTGCTTGATAGCCTGCCACAGCTTGAGTGGACACAGTCCTTACTTATGTCTCCAGGGAAAGCAGCAGTTGGGGATGGCAAGAGAGGGCTTCTGACACTCTTATTTACAATTCCATTGAAACCCATTCTCTTTCAAGCCAACACGGTCCAGCTGTATACTGCAACCTGATCAAACTAAACACCAACTAAAATAGATGGCAAAGGAAGGTTGTCTGTCTCTCCTCTGCAGTGGTACAGCAGAGAACCCGGAGAGTTCTAAAGAAAGCTGTCTTACCAGAAAGTTATGTGTAACTAATAATTTATGTTTACAAGATAAGAGCACGTGTTTCAAGTGGCAGACACTTGACATTCTGAGTGTTCTTTGTGAATAAAAAGTGTTTACAGTAACTTGGGGGGAAATTATTATTACAGTTGGATAGACAGAAACAACAGTTGTTCTCTGTACCCATTACATTAGACAAATCAGTTACCCTGATTTTTTTGCACATACGTGTGCAAAAAGCCAGTTAAAGCACAAATAACAGTAATTTCTCTTGTATTAGCATGTGGCACAGTTCACATTTTCAGTATAACTATCTTCCATGACACAATATTCAGTACAGTCTCAAACCAAACACTGAATTTTATCTTAAGTTTTCCGGTTCTTCTACCTGTGGGCGGTCATCTTCTGGGCCCTGGGCTCTGTTCTGGAAGGTTCCAGTCTGCTCGGCTTCCTGAGGGGCGGGAGCCCCTGGGTGTTGCTCAGGGCTGTTAGCCTCCAGGGCCTCTTGTTCCTGCCCACTGGACAGGTGCTCCATTTTTTCTAAGTCTTCAATGTGACTGACTGAGCTTGTCTCGCTTAGAGCATCTGAGCCTCTTAGGGACTTTTTAAAAGGCTTCTGGCCTAGAGAAAGATGGGATAAACAGCATTGAAAGTTCGATAAAGGATACTTCTGCAACAAAGCTATCTGTGCAACAAGAGATTGCTTTATCAATTCCAACGGTTCAGTGGAAATCCCCAGAATTACTGGTTTGGAAGCATTTAAGTAATGAGACAAGAAAAGAGTTGATAATGGACTAACATGCTCCCAAGGCTAGGACTCTGGAGGTCACTCGTGAAAAGCTCAGGAGAGTAAACACCAGGTTAAACATGATGCCAGCTCTCAAGACCCTAACTTCCCCCTTGGGAGTGCTACAGAGGTATTCTTCCAAGGCTGAAGCCCAAGGCTACTGGAATGGTATTTAAAGGGACAGCTGGGCCCTAACCGGTTTGGCTCAGTGGATAGAGCATCGGCCTGTGGACCAAAGGGTCCTAGGTTTGATTCCAACCAAGGGCACATGCCTGGGTTGCGGGCTTGATCCCCAGTAGGGGGCGTGCAGGAGGCAGCCAATCAATGATTCTCTCTCATCATTGATGTTTCTATCTCTCTCCCTCCCTTTCTCTCTGAAATCAATAAAAATATATTAAAAATTAAAAACAAAAAAAGGGACAGCTGAAGAGAAATGGAACTTTGGGTTAAAGACCATGAAAACAAAGGAGTGTAGGCAATACCAAATGGAAAAACATTAAATGATGCAAAAGTCTATTTTCCCAAGAGAAATGTAAACCATTCTCTTTTTTATTTTGAGAGAGGAAGGGGAAAGGAAAGAGAGACAGACACATCAATGTGAGAGTGGAACGTCAATCAGCTGCCTCCTGAACATGCCCCCTACTAGGAATCAAGCCTGTAACCAGGGCATGTGCCCTGACCGGGAATCAAACCAGCAACCTTTTGGTGCACAGGACAATGCCCAACTGAGCCACACCAGCCAGGGCCAACCATTTTCTTTAATACTAATGAACTCAAACATCTATATATATAAAAGCCCAGCAACCGTTAGCGTGGAACGACCAGAATGACTGGTGGGTATGACGCGCACTGTGGCAGCCAACCAGCCGGATCCGGGCCATGATCGGCCCCACCCCCGGCCAGCCCGGCCCCTAATATCCCGATTGGGAGCAGGGTCAGCTGCCAACTGCCTGAGGCCCCTCCCCCCAGCTGGCCCCCACCCCAATTGGCCCAACACCCCTAAATCACTGTCTGGCTCCCTGGTGCATATACATTTAGTGCAAGCACAAGAAAATAATTATCAGTCCCTTCTGACCTAGACCAGAGTCTCCTGAGGGCTCTGCTATTACTGCAGCCAAGGTGTGGAATTCTCCCTCCATTACTCGCAGTCCCAGGACCTTCCAAGTTAGCCAAAAAGGCGACCTCAGCATTAACGGGATGGTGGCCCTTTGCTGAGGAATGTAGAGAGGCTGGGTGGGGATTTTGTGAAATTGCAGTGCCTTGCAGATTAGGTGAGCTTTCAATCTCTCTTTAAATGGGGTGGTGAAGAGGACCTGCAGGCTGCCAGGAGCAACAGCGAAGGGTAGGCACATTCAAAAACAAAAACTTTTAAACAAACAGACATGAAGATCATATTGGGAAACTGAGGGTAGAGCCCCAGAAAGAATGCAAAAATCATTAAAGGGCCATCATCCATCTTGATATATGTTTGCAAACAACACATAAACAACTTCATCTCATGGCACTTGAAATGCAAAACAGTTCTGTTGTGGGTTTTCTTTTGGCCATCCTTAAAGTATAATTAGATCCAGCTGGGGGAAAGCTATAGCTTCCAGCATTAGACCCCCCGCCCCCGATCGGCCTCCATTGGGGTGGTCGGATGGACCCCTCCCATGCACAAATTCATGCACTGGGCCTCTAGTGAAGCTATAATGTACCTGGAAATCTGGGTTTAGTTCTAGTGCCTGTGGGGGTCTGAGGCGGTGTTACTCCTGTATCTTGTACTTTGTAGACATACGTGTGTTCTGTGGACTCCAGAGAGCCTGCCAGGGAAAGAAAGAGAGGGGTGGGTGGGTGGAAACTCCTGACACGGACTGCCTTGAGAGATGCTCCCATTCAGCCTTGTTCCCTATTGAGCTTCCTCCAGCCATGCAGCCTCACACAGACTAGTGGAGACTTGGGTACTCCTGAAACATGCCGGAACTGGAGAAAGCCACCTCACAGCTGTGCTCAGGAGTCCCGGCCCTGCTGGAGTGTTTCATCCTTGTCTCTCCAGCTATCCTGTGTACACGTGAAGACAGCTAGCAGTGTGGCTGGCCTAAGCACGCCTGGAGAGCCAGGCCCAAGTGGGAAACACCCTAACTTCCCCCTTGGAAGTGCTTTAGCAACAAGGAATGAATGCCTCTTTGCTAAAGGCTGAGGCATGGCAGGTTTTAAAAGTCAGATTATCTCTGGTTGTCATATCGCAGTGGAGTCATCATTTCCTGGGGAAGGGACACAGGAAGGGGCCCTGGTAGAACAGGAAAGGAGTCTTGTTGGATATCATCTCCCCTAAACCCCAGCAACTGTTAATTCTTGCTGGTTGCCTAGTTTGAAATCAAATAGTCCAGTGATACTGACCATGGTCTTCACTGGGCAAAGGCATTACTTTACTGGGCCAAACACTAATGAGGACTGCAATGTTCACACTGAAACCAAATGCCCAGACAGTCCTGAGGGCCTGAACAGCTGAGTGAACATTTCTCACTGGATTCCAGGAAGAGAGACCTGCTGTGGGCAATGCGTATCTGCTTTTGGGCCATTTTAGCCAAGGGGTTAGGAGAAGGGAGAGGAGAGAGTCACAAGGGCAGGCAGATTCCTGGCACAGGACCCAGGATAAAGCATGGGACACACAAGGCTTTTCGGCATGAGTGTGGGATCAGGGCATTTGGTCCTAACTCTCCAGGTACAGAGATCCGGGAGGAGGCTGTTGGTCCTACCTGCTGTTAAGTTAAAAGTTCTTCCCTTCTGTGAAGGCTGGACTGGGGAAAACCAATTCAGCACGGATCCTACTACAGGGATCTGCCGTAACACTCCCTGCAAAACAGAACGTTGCTCAACATCACCACCCTGTCCAGTCCGGCTCCCAGCCTGAGCCACTCAGCAGACTCACCTCTTCCAGAAGGCGCTCCTCATTGGCCTTCTGCAGTTGAACCTGAGCTTCCTGAATTCCTTTCCGAACCACTTCTGTCATGTTTTCCAGAAGCTGTGTTAAGACCAAGAAAGGCATTACTTGTCATCTAAACTTACTGCCTGGGGCCTAGAAGAACTATTAACACAGCACTGGGGACATTTTTCTAATGGAATTCTACAGTTTAAAAGGTCAGTGTAAAAATAAACAGAAAATCAAACAGAAGACGATAAAAGGCTCAAGGAGGTCTAGGCAGACAGACCTTGGTGACCAGCCTCATTAGCCAGGGAACCGAGGAGAAATAACTATCCCTGTGATCTGAATGTCACATCATTAGAAAATAGACATGTGGCTCCTCATTCGTGGAAATGGAGTCAGAAGTGAGGTAGTCAGGTTTGGAAGAAACTGCAAAGTCCATTCAAGAATGAATCAAATGTCCTTCTCTTGCCCACCCTACCAAAAGTGACACACGGGACACGTTTCTGTCTCCTCTCAGATCAATCTTGTTTTGGTCCCTTTTCTCTCCTTTTGAGTGATTTCTAGTGACTCAAATCTCTGGTTTGGAGAACCAACTTTAAGCCTCAGAGCCCGCTCCTCCATGCCAACTGGCCAGCAGGAGCAGGTCTGTTACTGGTGGGAAGTTCGTTATCAGAAACATCTGTCTCATTCAGCCTCAGGACCCAGCTACAACCAGGAAGTGATCCCTGACCTTGTCAGACAGTGAAAGTATCTTTCTGAATGCGCAGCTACCGCTAACTTCTATTCTATAGCATTTACCACCTCACTTGGTTATATGTATCTCTCTCCCCCACTGGCTTGTGAGTTCCCCAAAGGCAAGTACCATGTCAAATCCACTTGGCATTCCCAATGCCCGGCACAATGCCTAATTCATAGCAAACATTTAAAAACTTTTTGGGAAAGAATGAATTAATAGACATTTGTGACTCCAGCTAGTTGCCTGGGCAAAACCTAGAAAAGGAACGAGATTTTTCATTAGTCTTACAGACCCTTGAGTTTTCCTCAATTTCTCGCGCTGTGACTGCAATGGTCTCCACTAGTTCGGAAATATCTATGTCGTCACTCGCCATGCCAATGTAAATACAGCTCTTCATACTTTTATACTCAGGGCCTGTGGGAAGAAACAACAGACCAACTTGGTTACCTGTCATGAGTCAGACACGGACCCACTTTTCTGTACATGCAAAGGAGCCTCCCTCTGGGGCGAGGAAAGTGGTTCTAGAGGAGACGGGAAGCCTGGAGAGGCTGCGGAAGGGGAAAGGAGCTAGCTCACCCCTCAGGAAGAACTAAAACAATGTTTCCTCAAAAAGATAAAGCCTGTTTTCTCCTAATTAAGCCAGTTAAAAATGTCCTTGCAAAGTTAACAGTTGACTTATAAAAGTAGTAATTACCCATTTTAAATGTAAGGTCAGATTCTAGTTCGTTTAACTTTTTCAGGAGTCCAGCATGGATTTTTTCCCCTTCTGGATCTAATTTCAAACTGTTCTTATCATCATTAGCATGTTCATACCTGTAAACAACACCAAACAACAGTGTTTAAATCTGGAATAACAAATGTCTCTCAGATACAGTGTTACTGTGGCTAAGCTACGGGAGGTTACCAAGAATGTGGATTGAGGCAAAGGGACAAAGGAGCCACTCGGGGGGTTTCAAGACCAAAACTTTCAAGACTGTCTCAAGGAAAGGCAAGTCTGTGAGGCCAGGAAATTTACAGAGAGGCCAAGGTCTGAAGTCTCATCATTTGTGATTAAAAAGGGAGCTGTCCCTCATCCTGAAAGGAGATGGAAAGCAGCCACAGGAAGGACAGCACACTGACTACAGGGGATGCAGGAGTTTGCTCTGCTGGGGAACCGGGCCCTTTTCCTCACGCCGCGGACAGGAACCATCTGTCAGTTGTAGACCTGTATGTGTCTCCTAGTGACGGGGAGTTGGCACAAAAGCACATACAGCAACTCCTACTGCACTGAGTGCAATGGTGGGTCCCATCGTCTGCTACCTGTGCTTTTGTAAGTGCCCAGAATTACTACTTTTTTATTATTAATTTACTTACTGATTTGAGAGAGAGAGGGAAAGAGAAACATTGATTTGTTGCTCTACTTACTGATGCATTCATTGGTTGATCTTTCTGTTGTTGTTAATCCACACCCAAGGATATTTTTCCATTTTTTAGAGTGGGAGGGAGGGAAAAGACAGAGGGAAATACTGATGTGACAGAGACAAATCAATTGGTTGCCTCCTGCACTTGCAGGCTGGGGATTGAGCCTGTAACTGAGGTATGTGCCCTTGACCAGAACTGAACCCAGGATCCTGCAGTCTGTGGGCTGACGTTCTATCCACTAAGCCAAATCAGGCAGGACCAGAACTTCTAAATGAATATTCATTAGACGTTTTTACTGTGACTACATGTATTCATCTGAGATTTTTAGTTGGTTCATAAAATGATCCAGCATGGTCTTTATACAGCAAAGAGAAATTCACATCAGGCAACAAGCAGAAACCATACCTGACAACCCCTATTCCAGGCCAGTTAGGGTCATCAACGTGTAAGAGGCCTGCTGTTCTTGTCACTTCTTGCTTGAACTCCTCTCGCAGCTGTAGTGTACAGGTCAGGACCGGCAGCTTGCTTTCTATGCAGGCTACGAGCTGATCCACGTCCTCTCCCCGAGTTCCTAAAACTGAAAACATTCACGGAATGTTAGAGAAATGCTTAAGGAATAGCTAAAAATTAGAGGGCAGGGCTCCCACTTCCTTTACCAGAAAGGCCAGCAGCTCTAGGTACATCCAATTAGCTGGAGCTGAGGAGCTAAAAAAATAAAAAGCTACTAAACCTAGATATGGAAGAATCTGGTATTATATAGCCAGATCCTCCAGGTGCAGACAGTTTTTTCTTACAAATAGAATTAGCCCCTCCAATTGAATACACACGAAACTCTAATGTAAAAATGAGATTCTTCCCACAGAAAGATTTTGCTTAAATCAAGTTATAAACATCCTATTGCAAGTAAAAAAGAGGCAACCATACAGTTCTTTCTGTACATTAACATCTTGGAAGAAAGGTATTTTGGTGTGCTTGTGGCGGGAGGCAGGAAGGGCAGGGTGATGAAGACAGAACTAAGTCACTTCTGAAGGTCAGAGCCTGAGAGGTCTCAGGGCTGCAGGGATCCAAGAGTCTTGGCACCATCATGGCTCCCTCACTTCTGTCGATTCGAACACTGTGCATGACCTCACTGAGCCGCAGTACATGCCGCCTCGGTGTCAGCCCGCTTTTCCAGTGTCAGAAACCAAGCCTTGGGCTGGGTGAGGATGCTGGGCGGCAGGAGCAGAGACTCCTGGAGAATCCCGAGGCCACCAGCCATCTTCACAACAGCTTTTCTCTGCAGGACTTCCCTACTTTGATGTTTTTGAGAAAATATCCCAAAATGTTGAGAACATTTCATGAAAAACCATCACACATTTTCTGAAAATGTCTAAATCATTTCAAAAGAAAAGCACAACAAAAAATTTAATACATCTTTTTTCAGCTTATTTTTAGATGCCTGCTATAATATGCTAAGCGCTATCTAAGGCATTTCATATACATGTTCTCATTTTAATATTCACACCATTACCACGAGGTAGTGGGAAATAGGCCTGGAGGTAAGTAACTTGCTCAAAGTCTCCACAGGTATTAAGTGGCCTAGGGGAACAAATACCCAGGACTCTGTCATCAGAGACCAGCTTCATTCTTTCTTTCTTTTTTAAAATATATTTTATTGATTTTTTTACAGAGAGGAAGGGAGAGAGATAGAGAGTTAGAAACATCGATGGGAGAGAAACATTGATCAGCTGCCTCCTGCACATCTCCTGCTGGGGATGTGCCCGCAACCAAGGTACATGCCCTTGACCAGAATCGAACCTGGGACCTTTCAGTCCGCAGGCCGACGCTCTATCCCCTGAGCCAAACCAGTTTTGGCTATTCTTTCTTAAATGACTAAAAGTGGTTCTCAGCCTTTGCTGGCCTAGGTGAATCACCAAGGGAATTTTTTTAAAATATATTTTATTGATTTTTTACAGAGAGGGAGAGGGATAGAGTTAGAAACATTGATGAGAGAGAAACATCCATCAGCTGCCTCCTGGGTGGCCCGAACCCGAGGTACATGCCCTTGACTAGAATCAAACCTGGAACCTTTCAGTCCACAGGCCGACACTCTATCCACTGAGCCAAACCGGTTAGGGCACCAAGGGAACCTTTAAAGATAAGATGCCCAGGCTCCACTCTAGACCAAGGAAATCAGAATCTCTGTAGGTGAGGCCCAGCCGCTGGGAGTTTTCAAAGCTCCACAGGTGATTCTAATATACAGTCTGGACTGAGAACCACTGACAGAAAAGGGTCACAAGACATCAAAACACAGGAGTTCAAGTGACTTCAGAAGTCTCCGTTTCTGAGAAATGACACTGGAAGGCTAATCTACCTAAATTTAACCCAAAAGAAAAGAAAAATCCTTTTCAAAGAGAACAGAATATCATAAGGGAAAGCTATAAAGCCCCACAGCCTGGACTTTCAGAGACATGTCACTGTTGTTCCCCAGAACAAAAGTGAGGGCAATCCATGGAGACAAGTTACCTGCCGCTGTCATCAAAGGGCTGAACCTCACACACACCCCCTCTGTTTCCAGATCCATGACGGTGAGGCCACTCACAGGCACCAGCTGCTTCAGCTGTTCTCCCAGCTGCAGGGAAAAGGGTAGAATGAACACACTCCTGCAAGGAGGGAGTCAAGTGTCTTCAGACCTACTACCCTCGTCCATTCAAGCCCAGACTCAAGAAGCTCCTGGGGGGCTAGTTTCCTTTAATCTTTTTTTAAAAAAGGAAATTTTACCTTTTTTTAAAGAAAATATGTTTTTACTGATTTAAGGGAGAGGGAAAGAGATAGAAACAGCAATAATGAGAGAGAATCATCAATCGGCTGCCTCTTGCACACCCCCCACTGAGGATCAAGCCCACAACCTGGGCATGTGCCTTTACTAGGGATCGAACTGTGACCTCCTGGTTCATAGGTCGACGCTCAACCACTAAGCTACATCAGTTAAGCTCCTTTAATCTTTTGATTTTGAGTGCTATCATAATTCCTTTTTAAAAACAGTAAATTTTACATCTATTCTTAATAAAAAAACTTAAGTTCATTGTAGAAAAATCTAAGAAATACAGGTAAACCAAGTGAATAAAATAAAAATCACCCACAATATACCACTGATGTCATGTGGCATACCCACACTGTCTTTCTCCCTGTGTATGTGTGTGTGCGCATGCCTTATTGTTGTTATAAACCAGGATAGTCTATACACTGGTTTCTAATCTTCATTTTTCATATAACTTATGACCATTTCCCTTCTTTCATAAACACCCAGACACATGGTTTAATCTGGCTCTTTTGAACGTCACTGTATGGACATACCATTACTTATTCACCAAACGCCCTAGGTTGGGCATGTCCAATGTTTTGCTAGGATTTATAATTCTGTGCTAAACATCCTTACGTTGTTTAGAACATTCTTTAGACTGAGATCCTTGGAGGTACAATTTTAGTGTCAAAAGGCAGCCAAGCACAATGCCTTTATTCATACTGCCAGACTGCCCCGGCGGTGTTCAGGGGCCTCTGGCTTATGTGCTTTCTGGTATCACCACAGACCCTCACCAGAACCCCAAAGTGGCTGCACTGTAATCTACATTGTGCATGTTGTTTAACAGCAAAGAAATGGTCACATGAGGAAACTGAGGAAATATGCTGGGAAGACTTGCCGGAGCCAGGAGTATGGGAGGTAGTAATCTGATTAGGAACAGAACCCCAGGACCAAGCCCGCCTTCACAGGAGGCTCCCTCCCATGGGTCTCATTTCCCAGACATGGCTACGTGTTATTCCAACCATCTGGGACGTAAAGAGCACAACTGCCATTCCTACCCAGCGATTCAGTGCATCACAGGAGTGTCCCTCCCGGCCGACTGTTGAAGGTGCCATGTTGGGTGCTGGGACAGCTTTAAGCACTGGATCTGAAACCAAAATAGAGGAAGGGATTCACTTCCCAGAAACACAGCAAACTAAATAAGGCAACCCTCCAACTTCATTTCATTTAGCTCCTAACATTAACACACAAAACAGTCTCAAATAATATGGAAATCAAATGTGTATCTTACATGAATGGATGCACAAAATGTGGTGTATACATACATGGACTATAATTCAGCCTTAGAAAGGAAGGAAATTCTGTCACATGCTCAGCATGGATGAACCTTGAGGACACTACTCTAAGTGAAATAAGCAGTCACAAAGGACAAGTACTGCATGCTTCTGCTTTTATGAGGCACCTGAAGATGTTAAATAGAAACAGGAAGTTCAATGGTGTTTGCTAGGTGCTGGGAAGAGGAAGAAAATGGAGAGATGCTGTTTAATGGTTAGAGGGTCAATTTGCAAGATGAAAAAATTCTGGAGAGCGGCTGTACAACAATACAAATATATTTAACACTACTGAATTGTACCTGTAATGGTTAAGCTGACAAATTTTGTTTTTTAAGGCACAGTTTAAAAATAAATGTATCTTACTAAATTAAATGTTACTTTTTTCATGAAAAATATAACCCTTGAATATAGTCACACAAATAGAGTTCTTAACTTTATTTAAAAAGTTTTCTATCAAGGGATTTCAAAAGGAAATCAAAGCATAACATTATAAATTATCAACTGAACATTGTGCAAGGTAAATCAGAGAAATCACCCAATAGCTGGGCTTCAAAACAGTATCAGCCTCTACTCATCAAACAATCTGGATGACTACTCGTGCCAGGAGCTGGGTCAGGCCCAAGGGATATAAGGCTGATAAGGTTTTCTTCATCTTGGAGTTTACATTCTACTTGAGGAAACAGACCATAAAGAAAGCAATGAAATCACTAATATTGCTGTGAGTGCCATGCAAGAAGGGGGGCTCTCACAGGCAGGGAAGGCCTCTCTGAGGAGGTGGACATTATGGAGACCTAAATGGAGAAGAAGTCAGCCAGAAGATGAGGGGACATGTACTAGAGGTGGGGAAACAGTAGTGAAAAGGTCTTACTCTAGTGAGCAGGAGGAAAAGTGGCCTAAGAGGAAGTCAGAAAGGCAAAGGCTAGAACTGCAGGCCTTACAAGACCTAGCACAGAGCCTGGACCTCATTCAACTGAAACAGTAAGATCCCAGAGAGCGACACAATGTGACCTCCACTTGTAATGCTCACTCGGACTGCCTTGTAGAGAATGGTCTGGAGTGGGATGCGGGGAATGTATCAAGTTGATAGATCAGTTGAGAGGGGACTGTGGCCATCCAGGTGAAAAATAACAGTGCCCTGGACTAGGCTGGTGGCACTTGGGACATTCTAAAAAATAGAGATTCCTAGATCCAACCTACTAAATCAAAATATCTAGTAAGAAGGGCCCCAAACCTCTATTTTCAAGGGACTCTTTTTTATTCATTCCAGTACTAGTGCAGAGACCAGAATTTGGAAACCAATGGTTTACCATAGGAAATTACTGATAAAATGCTAAGGCATTTAGGTCTGGAATTCTTATGAAAATTATTAAATTTTTCTGAAGTGAGGATTGAAGATTTTAGTAATCAAAATATTTTGGACTATGTATTTTACTTGAGTTTAAAATTAAAAGCCCTTAGACATAATACAAAAGTAACACTCTTTTAAAAATCACCTACCTGAGCCTGGTAATTCCTGGAAAAATCTAAACACTACTACTGGAGAACTGAGTTCATCTTCCACCTGAAAAATAGAATCTGACATTACCCAGTAACATCACATTTCAAATACCTACAAAATGAAACAGAGTTTGAAAAACCGGCTAGAGATTTTATATTTTCTTAATAAACACTTAAGTTTAAAGGTTAATTTCAGTTGTTAGAGAAACAAAAATCAAGGGTTCAGTAAATAATTATAAGCTAGTTCTGAGAATACACTGCTGAATTACAGTAAGTGACACTGAAAAAAATATAGTGACACTGCTACAGTGAAATTAAAGTAGAAGGAAATTTTAATGACAATGGGTAAATATAAGTCGTTATAACATTAAAGATCAAAAAAGGCAAGAAAAAAGTTGAACTAGAATCAGTGCTGAGAGAGCCAAAGCTTTTAAGAATCCAAAAATGATGCTAACTCAACCAGTCAGGATTGACTGGAACTTTTTATACTCATAAAAAAAAGGAAAACAAGGACTTCTATCTTTTCAAACTCCTGGAACAGAATGCAAGTCCTGCTGGTAATGTAGATAACCACAGTCTAGAACTGAATCTATGTATTTCCTAAATCAGCGGTTGCCAACTGGTGGTCCGAGGACCACTGGTGGTCCATGAGGTCCGAAAGGTTGGAGACCGCTGGTCTAAATCCCTGAAATGGTACTTATATTCAGGACAGGCATCAGGCAACCAACTTCATTAGTGGATTTCATAACAGATGAAAACATTCACTGCATTAAGATAAGCCAGTGCCAAGTTCATGTTCTCCACTGAACAAATACTCAGCTGGCATCAGCTTCACTGTGGAGTCAAGATACAAAGGGAGCTACAATGCCCTTGACAGACTGTGGTACTTTAGGAGGTGAGGGAGAGAGAAACATGAGAAGAAAGATCTCTAGGCATTCAAAAATTCCAGTACTAGTCATAAAACCTATTTTCCAAAGCTCTGTGAATGATGTCTCATTCATAGAGCCATCACAGGTAATGCTAACTTGGAAAGATGACAGGAAGTTGTCAGCCCAAGATTTTCTCTACTGAATTTTCAAAAGACTCTATGGATGTTGTTCAGATCAAACACGATAGATATTCAAATCTGCTAACTATTTTTTTAAAAATATATTTTATTGATTTTTTACAGAAAGGAGGGGAGAGGGATAGAGAGTTAGAAACATCGATCAGCTGCCTCGTGCACGCCCTCTACTGGGGATGTGCCCGCAACCAAGGTACATGTCCTTGACCGGAATCGAACCTGGGACCCTTGAGTCCGCAGGCTGATGCTCTATCCGCTGAGCCAAACCGGTTAGGGCTATGCTAACTATTTATTAAGCCAATTCCTGTGACTTCACATCTATTATTCCTTTAACTTTCATAAAAATAAATCCATTAATACTTTAAAGTTAGAGGGGCTTAATATTTAATAGGATGGAAAGCCCAGTAAGAAAATAGGAAAAAACAGTGTCAAAATTCTACACCCATTCCCCCATCCTCAGGATAAGGCAGAATGATTCGAGTGACAAGACTTCTATATATAGGCTTTTTCTCTTTTCTTATTTCTTTGAGCTCAATGATCTTAAATGCCAGTGTGCATAAGAAATACTGTACAGGGTTATACAGTTGACCCTCCATACCTATGCATTCCATATCCAAGGATTCAACTAACAGGGGATCAAAAATGTTTGGGAGCCCAGATGGTGTGACTCAGTGGTTGAGTGTCGACCTATGAACCAGGAGGTCACAGTTCGACTCCTGATCAGGGCACAGGCCTGTGTTGTGGGCTCGATCCCCAGTAGGGGGTGTGCAGAAGGCAGCCAATCAATGATTCTCTCTCTTCATTGATGTTTCTCTCTCTCTCTCCCTCTCCCTTCCTCTCTGAAATCAATTAAAAATATGTATTATTTTAAAAGTTATTTACTTCAAAAACAGATCAAATTTTATACTATACCAAAATTTTGATGTGGTTCACTTTCTTCAAACTTTCTTGCAATCGCTGACTCTGTAAATAACAAAAACAAAAAACAAAAATTACAAGTTATGTAATTTTATTATATTGACAAGAACATATTAAGAAGCAATTTTCATGAGTTCTTTGCAGGTCTGCAAACAAGCATCTTGTGCAGATAAAGCCATCTGCATATAGGTGATTTCTAAGTTCAGCTGACAATTTCTGCATTTCAACATCTGCAAATATTCCCTATTTCAGTTTGAAGTTGTATTTAGTGGTTCTAGAAGAGCTTTTTCTGATGAGATATAAGTGAATTTTTCATGCTAGTAATTTAAGTCATTCATTCATTCAAAAACTACTACTGAGTGTAGGCAACAAAAGCAAAAATAAACAAGTGGGACTACATCAAACTAAAAAGCTTCTGTAGAGCAAAGGAAACCAATAAAATGAAAAGGCAACCTACTGAAGGGGACAAAATATTTGCAAATCATTTATCTGATAAGTGGCTAATGTCTAAAGTATATAATGAATTCACACAACTCAATAGCAAAAAAAATAAAACAAAACCAAAATCAGATTTAAAAAATGGGCAGAAAATTTATAGACTTTTTCCAAAGAAGACATAAAGATGGCCAACAGGCATGTCAAAAGATGTTCAACATCCCTAACCATTAGGGAAATGCAATGAGATATCACCTCACACCTGTCAGAATGGCTGTTATAAAAAAGACAAAAAAAATGGCAGGACGGTGTGGCTCAGTGGTTGAGCATTGATCTATGAACCAAGAGGTCATGGTTCAATTCCCAGTCCGGGCACATACCCAGTAGGGGTTAGTGCAGGAGGCAGCTAATCAATGATTCCCTCTCATCAGTGATGTTTCTATCTCTCTCCCTCTCCCTTCCTCTCTGAAATCAATAAAACTTTTAAAAAGACAAAAAAAAGATAACAAGTGTTGGCAAGCATATGGAGAAAGGGGAAACCTTATACACTGTTGATGGGAATGTAAATTGGTAGAGCCACTATAGAAAACAGCATGGAGGTTTCTTAAAAATAGCCCTGCGCTGTATGGCTCAGTGGTAGAGGGTTGCATGTTCGATCCCCAGCCCTGCACAGGGCACATTCAGGAGGCAACCAACCGAAGCGTCTCTCTCACATTGATGTTTCTTTCTCTCTCCACCCCCTCTCTCCCTCCACTATCTCTAAAAACCAATAGAAAAATATCTTCAGGTTAGAATTAGACTAAAATTAAAAATAGAGCTGCCATATGACCCAACAACTCCACTATTCCACTTCTGGATATTTATCTGAAGAAAACAAAAACACTAATTCAAAAAGATATATGCACCCCATCTATAATAATAAAAGTGTAATATGCTAATTAGACCAGAAATCCTTCCAGATGTCCTTCTGGACCACCTTCCAGGTAAAGCCGGGGCTGCGAGAGAAGCCAGTGCCGGCAGCTGGGGGAAGGAAGGCCTACTTTCATGAAGTTCGTGCATTGGGCCTCTAGTGTTTATATAATAGCCAAGATATGGAAACAACCCCAAGTATATATTTAAAATAAAGACTTACTTTTATTTAATTTATTTATTATTATTTTTTAATCCTCACCTGAGGATATTTTCCCCATTGATTTTTTTTTAGAGAGTGGAAGGGAGGGAGGGGAGAGAGAGTGGAAGAGAGAGGGAGAGAGAAAGGGAAGGAGGGAGTGAGGGGGAGAAGAGAGAGAGAAGTCGTAATATGAGAGACACACATTGACTTGCTGCCTCCCAAATGCACCCCAACCAGGGCCTGGGATTGAGCCTGCAACTGAGGCACATGCCCTCAACCAGGAATTGAACCCGAGACTCTTTGGTCTGTGGGCCAACGCTCTAACCACTGGCCAGGGCCAAAGATTTACTTTTAAACCTATTATAACTTATCATGTGATTAGGCACTATTGTAAGAGCTTTATATGCATCAACTTATTGAGTCCTCCTAACAATCCTTTGTTATATCATTATCCCTATTTACAGGTAAGAAAACAGGTATAGAGAGGTGATGTCATGCTTTTAGACTTAGGCAGGACTCAGCTCTCAAACTGCATAAATATGACTTTTTTTTTTGCTTTCTAAACCACAGCATCTATAATAATAAAAGGGTAATATGCTTATTAGACAGGATGTTATTCCGGACGACCTTCCTGACAAAGCCGGGCCCCAAGGGAAGCCAGCCCGGGTCCTGGGTGCCTGTGGGTGGCTGGAGGAGGGAATCAGCCTGGGTCCCGGGTGTCTGCCAGCAGCCAGAGGAGGGAAGCCCGGTGCCGGAGGGAAGCTGGTGCCAGCAGCCAGGGGAAGGAAGGCCTACTCTTGCACGAATTTTCGTGCATCGGGCCTCTAGTCTTATATAATAAAAGCCTAATATGCTAAGTGTCTGATCGACCAGTTGGCCTTTCAACCAATCAAAGTGTAATATACCAGTGATATGCTAAAGGCTGCTCAGCCACTTGCTATGTTGTGCACTGGGCACCAGGGGGCAGACGCTCTGACTGGTAGGTTAGTTTGTTGCTGGGTTCTGGCCGATTGGGACTGGGCGAGATGGGCCGGACACACCCTGGAGCCTTCCCGCAGTCCCTCCCCTGCTGGCCAACCTTCCAAGTCGCTCCCTGGCTCCAATTGTTCACCAGTGGGGTCCCTTGGCCTGGCCTATGCCCTCTCACAATCCGGGACCCCTTGGGAGATATCAGAGAGCCAGTTTTGGCCTGATCCTGCAGGCCAAGCTGAGGGACCCCACTGGTGCATGAATTCGTGCACCAGGCCTCTAGTAATTATGTATTTTTCAAAATGAGAACATCTCAAAGAGAAACAATTAAAATTGTCCCTCAAAGTCTTGCTATTAGAGAACTCAAGCCAGTTGCTGTTAAAAATGTGCATGCCATCCATAATCAACCTTAACTATCATATTCCTTTACCCTCAAGGATCAGTCAGTCAAGTGGAACATTTATGCCCCTTTCTGCATCCTTCACTACTCTGTGGCTGTCCTCTTGTGACTTCTTTCCTCATCCTATGCTGACAACAGCATTCATTTTTTTAAAAATATATTTTTACTGAATTCACAGAGGGAGAGGGAGAAATAGAAACATCAATGATGAGAGAAAATCATTGATTGGCTGTCTCTTGCATGCCCCCTACTGGGGATCAAGTCCACAATCTGGGGATGTGCCCTCGACTGGAATCAAACCCAGAACCCTTCAGTCCACAGGCTGAAGCTCTATCCACTGAGCCAAACTGGCTAGGGTGACATAGCATTCATTTATTAAAGATGCTGGGACAATCTCAGCAGTCTCTCCCAGAACTCTGAACAAGAAGCATACATGCAGAGCTATTCATCCACTTGCTTATGAAACAGGAAATCCAGACAAGGTATTGGATGGAGAGTAAATGACTGAAGTATTTTTCTGACTCTGCTTTGCCATGGAGTATTATTTGTGACTCATTTAAACTTCAGATTTCTACTCACCAGTTGGCAGGCATGCTTAATCCTCTCCACAATCCCATCAAGTCCCAAGTACTGTAAAGACAACCACAGTGGCAGGGCACGGAGTTTGTCCGCTGGTTTATTTGATGTGAGACCAGCAACTAAAGTCTAAAAAAGCCAATATGAGTTTTTAATCAAAGTCAATGAAAGCATATAACAGAATTAACTAGTTACCATTTACTAGGCACTTAGTATGTGTCAGATGCTATGCCAGGCACCTGGCATGTATTATTCATTTAATCATCCGAGAACTCTATGAAGTAATTATTTGCCCGAGGTTTCATGTCTTAGATGTGACAAATCCAGGATGAGGATCTAAATGAGTCATATCCCAGAGCCGGAGCTCTTAGCCACTCAAGAGGCAGCCCCTTCCAAGGTTGTTCTGATCATCCTCAAATACTTGGTCATTATCAATTGGGCAAGACATCAACTGTTGTAGCAAGAATCACTTCAAGCTTGTTTTGCATGAGCCTATCACTGACTGATCACTACCAGGACCACTCATCTACTTTGTTAGAACCTTCTAGACAAGGTGGACTAAGCGCTTTCACCACTCCGAGAGGAATGCCACTTCTGGGAACCTATTCTAAGGAAATAATTTGAAACATAGAAAGATACTCATTATTTCAGTAACAAAAATTTGAAAACATCCTAAAAGTTCACAAATGGAGAACGATTAAATAAATTGTGGTATTGGAGTAATAGAATATGATGTAGTATAAAACACCATAATGTGTTCTTCATACACACACGGAAGTATGGGGAGAATAAGTAGAAAAAATACACGTGGTACAGTTTCACTTCTGTTAATAATAGTTTTTTGAAAGTAAAAAATCACAGAAGTGACATTAAGGGAACTTTTCACTATTTCCTTTGTTTTTCTGTGTTTTTGCCCCCAGAACCAGTAATGACTATGAGCACTCCCTGCCAGTACGAGTAAGCTTACCAAGGCGGGATCATCATGCTTATAAAGAGTGACTGCAGGAACCGCTGGCAAACCCAGCCACGGGCCTGGAGTCAGCGTCATGCTATCACATTTGGTTGCAGCCTACCAAAGAGAGAACAGCTTTTTGTTAGACTATTAGAATACACGAAACCCAACACCCTCCTCCATTCATAAAAACCACGAAAAGCCCCCAGGAATTAAAAGATTTAAAATTCCTTCTTTAAAATACAGTATTTGGTAAACCAACAACATACCAGCACTGATGAGGAGACATAACCTAGAGCCAATGTTGCCAGATTCACACTGGAAGAAAAAAACACTAATCTAAGAATGAATTATTTACTGCTGCTTATTCACTAAGTATGTATTTAAAAAAGAAAGAGAGAGAGAGAGAGAGAGAGAGAGAGAGAGAGACTCTGCTATCTTTCAGCTGTGTTATTAGCTTTTATAACAGCAACAGAAAATGTGGTACATGCAAATTTTAGGAATACCTTGAAAATGCATTTTAATAAAAATATAGTTCAGGGATATTTTCTACTTACTTGGTGTGATGTGTCTTGTATCTCACAGCCATTATTTTCCGGTCATCTTTCCCAGAGGGATACAATAACGAAGAAACCTACCGTGCATGATGTGCTGGATATGGACTGCTTTGGTTGCCCTGCATCCTCTCCCCGCTCTTAGCAGCACTCCAGTGACTTTCTGGGAAATCACCCCAATCTCCTTTATTGGACCACAGCTTTGGGCAGGGGAGACACCACCACCGGCTCCAGAGGTGGGCAAATAACCTGAACTACCTTTCCCTGGCTACAGTGATTGGTATGATATTTTTCCTGGGGCTTCTGACCCACTGGACACAAACTGGAAAACAGGCTGGAGTTGCTGCAGCTACTTTGGACCATAACAGGAAAGTCTATCTATACATGGAGCCAACACAGAGGATATTAAACCAAGTGACTGATGGTCGTGTTGGGGGGGTTGGGGGGGAGGGGAGAATGACACACTGACTCCTGATTGATGTTGTGCCTGAAGCCAATTCCTAACACTGTTTGTTGTTAGTTATGTGAACCAATAATCTCTTCTCACTTAAGCCAATTTGGGTTTTCTTGTTATTTGCAACCCAAAGAGGTCTTAGTGATAAATGTCATGACAAAGTGAGAGCGGGGATGTCCACTCCTCATGAGCACTGTGTGCAGGCCACTCATGGAGCCAATCCCACCTTCCACTCACCCCTCCACATGAAGCCATATGCCATACTGCTCACAGAGTTCTTTCAAACGCCCAATCTTATCTGTGTGTCCCACCGCTGCAGTTCCTAGGATAAAGCACACACAAAAAGATACTAAAAGGAACAAATATTTTCTGAGTCTTTAAAGTATGATTAAAACTTTTATATACATTATCTCCCTGCGACTGAACTAACATTGTATCTCTTTTATTAAGATTTGGCTCAGTGGCCTTAACCAGTTTGGCTCAGTGGATAGAGCCTCAGCCTGCGGACTGAAGGGTCCCAGGTTCGATTCCAGTCAAGGGCATGTACCTTGATTGCAGGAATATCCCCAGTGGTGGGTGTGCAGGAGGCAGCTGATCGATGTTTCTCTCTCATCGATGTTTCTCACTCTCTATCCCTCTCCCTTCCTCTATTAAGAAAAAAAAAAAAAGATTTGGCTCAGTGGATAGAGCAGCGGTTCTCAACCTGTAGGTCACGACCCCTTTGGCGGTCGAATGACCCTTTCACAGGGGTCGCCTAAGACCATCCAGCATATCAGATATTTACATTACGATTCATAACAGTAGCAACATTACAGTTATGAAGTAGCAACAAAAATAATTTTATGGTTGGGTCACAACATGAGGAACTATATTTAAAGGGCCAGAAGGTTGAGAACTACTGGGATAGAGTGTCAGCCTGCAGACTGAAGGATCCAGGGTTCCATTCCGGTCAAAGGCACATGCAGGGGTTGCGGGCTCCATCCCCAGTAGGGGGCGTGCAGAAGGCAGCCAGCCAATCAATGATTCTCATCATTGATGTCTCTATCTCTCTATACCTCTCCCTTCCTCTGTGAAATCAATAAAAATATTTATTTTTTAAAAAGATCTTCTTTGTGGATTGGCTTAAAATCAACTTTTGCAAACTGATGATTCAAGTTTTGAAGAGTGTGTATTCTCCATTATATGTATCTATAAAAAAGCTTGTAAATTGTTATTTAAATCCCCTCTATATTTATTTTCTATGTATTTGATTGTCGTTTCATGAGAAATATATTGAAGTCTCCTACCAAGATTGTGAGCTTGTCAATTTATACTTGTATTCTATCAATTTTTCCTTTAGTCTGCCTTTATATAGTTGTTATGTTCATAAGCGTTCATCACTGTTATCTCTTAAATCATATGAATTACAATTAATATGAAGTCTATTTTATCTCACACTAACACTGCTTAAGTACTTTTGTTCTGTTAGCATTTGCCCCAGAGAGTCTGTTCTACCCTAGCCTTTTCTTTAAATCTTTATTGTTCAGATTATTACAGATGTTCCTCTTTTTTCCCCCCATAGTTCCCCTCCACCCAGTTCCCACCCTACCCCAGGCCTTCACTCCTCCACTGTCCTCCATAGGTGTAAGCTCTTTGTCCAATCTCTTCCCGCACCCCCCACAACCCCTTCCTCCCGAGAATTGTCCTCCGCTCCCTTTCCCTGCCCCTGATTCTATTACATTCACCAGTTTGTTCTGTTCATCAGATTTTTTATTCTACCCTAACTTTTTGTTACTTTCTGGGTTATTTTATATTTAGGTGTATCCTTTTATGAAAAAAATACAAAGACGAATTTGAGATGTTTTCAACCCAATTTGGAGGTTCTTTGTTTTAATATAGAACATGTATTTTGAAGTCAGTTTGAACATATTACACACTTTATTTAACCCATCTCCTTGGTAATTCGTTTACACTATAGCTTTTGCTGGGCAGATCCCCCTTCTCAGAGCATAAGTAAAATACAGAGTCAAGTATTCTCCCAACTATCTTAAATTTCCAGTTAGCAGAATCCCACCTACTAAGATTTCAAACCCTCACCAATTGCCTCAACACACACACACAAGTGATGCAAGTGGTTCTTGTGCAGGGTTTATGCTAGGAAAAGGGCTGAAAACTGTTTTCCCTACATACAGGCCTATCTCAATGAAAAAAAATCTTGACATATTTGTTTAGTTGAAACAAGAACAAAGGTCAATGCATGGCCTGTGTCCCATGACCCATCGAAACATAAAGCACAGTGCTATGTTTTAGTGCAGGGGTCCTCAAACTACGGCCCGCGGGCCACATGCAAATACAAATATTGTATTTGTTTCCCGTTTTGTTTTTTTACTTCAAAATAAGATATGTGCAGTGTGCATAGGAATTTGTTCATAGTTTTTTTTTAAACTATAGTCCGGCCCTCCAACGGTCTGAGGGACAGTGAACTGGCCCCCTGTTTAAAAAGTTTGAGGACCGCCCTAACCGGTTTGGCTCAGTGGATAGAGCGTCGGCCTGCGGACTGAAAGGTCCCAGGTTCGATTCCAGTCAAGGGCATGTACCTTGGTTGCGGGCACATCCCCAGTAGGAGGTGTGCAGGAGGCAGTTGATCCGATGTTTCTCTCTATCCCTCTCCCTTCCTCTCTGTAAAAAATCAAGAAGGTATATTAAAAAAAAAAAAAAGTTTGAGGACCTCTGTTTTAGTGACTTGACCACATTCAGATTCTCTTTTCAAGTTTTCCGGCAGTGTCTGCTGGCTCACCCCTGCAATGTGTATTCTGGCGACAGCAGTGTAATCACACTGGTAAGTCACTCAGACATATGTCAACTGTAGCCTCTCCCAACTATCAAATGATTGAATATGGGCGGGGGTGTTTCTTTTTAAAGATATGACATGCTTAATCAGGCAGGAAGTGGTGGTTTTCCTACTAACAATAAGGTAGATATGCGTTTTTCTGTTTATTATTATTTTTAAAAATATATATATTTTATTGATTTTTTTACAGAGAGGAGGGGAGAGGGATAGAGGGTTAGAAACATCGATGAGAGAGAAACATCGACCAGCTGCCTCCTGCACACCTCCTACTGGGGATATGCCCGCAACCAAGGTACATGCCCTTGACTGGAATCGAACCTGGGACCCTTCAGTCCACAGGCCGACGCTCTATCCACTGAGCCAAACCAGTTAGGGCTTATTATTATTTTTTAAATATAGTTGGCCGTCTGTGTCCGCACCCACAGATTCAATCAACCGTGACTTTAAATTATTCGGAAAAAAAATCCCAGAGAGTTCCAAAAAGCAAAACTTGAATCTGCCACACACTAAGCACTGTGCTGAATGCACTCAAATGAAGTGATATGGAGGCATATCCTGCTGCAGCCTGTATGTTATATGACTTTATACAGGGACTTGAGCACCTGTGGATTTTGGTGTCCAAGGGGAGCGGGGGTCCTTTAACCTATCCCCTGTAGCCAAGGGGCAACTCTAGTTAGCTTTACTGATTGAAGTATAACTTGCATGCAATAAAATCCATTCATTTAAGTGTACGGATCATTGAATTTTGCCAAATGTACCCAGTATGTAACCACCAACACAATCAAGGTAGAGAATATTTCCATCACCCCAAAAGCTCCTTCCACGCCCCCTCACTCCTGAGGTATCACTCTTTTCTTCGCTCCCCACTGGCCACAGTCCTGATCTGTTTTCTGTCACTGTACTTTTATCCTTTTTTTAGAATTTCATATCAATCATATGCTATGTAACTTCTATCTGGCCTTTTGCAGTTAGCATGCTTTTGAAATTCATCCCTGTTGTGTATATTAGTACTATTCCTACATACTGCTTAGCAGCCCACAAGATGGATACAACTTGTTATCCATTCACAAGGTAAAGGACACCTGGATTGTTTCCAGTTATGAGTATTGCATACAATTCTTTGTGTGGACATATGTGTTCTTTTCTCTTTGAAAAAAATACCTACAAATGGGACTAATGGGTCATATGCTAATTTTATGTTTAACCTTTTTAGGAACTGCCAAACTGTTTTCCAGAGGAGCTGTAACATTATTTGCTCCCTACCAGCCGTGTATGAGTTCCGGATACTTTGTATTCTCACCAGCATTTGGCACTGTATTTTTTTTTTTTCTTTCTCTCCATTCTAGCAAATATGTAATAGTAGCTCATTGTGGTTTTAATTTGCATTTCACTAATAACTAATGATGTTAAGCATCTTTTAAGTGATTACACATTCATATATTTTCTTTGGTGAAGTGTCTATTCAAATCTCTTGTTCATTTAAAAAATATTATTTGTCTCCCCAATACTAAATGGTAAAACTTCTTTATGTATTTTGATAAAGTCCTTGGCCAAAAAAAATGTTTTGCAAATATTTCTCCCAAGTCTGTAACTTGCCTTTCATTTTCTTAACAGTTAGGGTATCTTCAGCAGCATAAGCCTTTAATCTGTGAAAAAGTCCAATTTATGGTTCATGCCTTTTGTGTCCTAAGATATCTTTGCCTAATACAAGATCACAAAGATCTTCTATATTTTCCTCAAGAAGTTTTAGTGTTGTGTCTCATACGTCTAGGTCTAGGAACCATTTATAATTAATTTTTGTATACAGAGTGAGGTAAGGATTGAGGTTCAATCTTTTCTCCACATGGATATCCAATTGTTCCAAAACCACTGGTGGAAAAGACTATCCTTTCTCCCTTGAATAACCTTGGCATCTTTATAAAAACAACTAAGTGATCACATACTTGTGAGTCTATTCTCTTCAATTAATCACTCTCTCTTTATTAGGGGTAGCTTTATAGTAAGTCTAAAAGTCAGATAGGGTAAGTCTTCCAATTTTGTTCTTTTCAAAATTATTTTGGCTATTCTTAGATCCCTTGTATGTTCATATAAATTTTAGAATCAGCTTATCAATTTCAATAAGATTCACCAATTTCTACAAACTGTGCTGAGACTTTGATATGGATTAAGCTGAATCTATAGATTAATTTGGTGAGATTTAACTTAATAATGTTGAGTCTTCCAATCATGCACATGACATGTAATTCCATTCATTTGTTCCAATGGCTTTTCTTTGATTTCCTTACAACTTTCTACCTGTACAATCATGCCATTTGCAAGTAAAGACATTTGATTCTTCTTTTCAATCTCTATGTTATTTAATTATTTTTCTTACCTATTAGACTGTCTAGAACAGCGGTCGCCAACCTTTAGGACCTCATGGTTGGCAACCACTGGTCTAGAACTTCAAGTACAATGTTAAACACAATACGGTAAGCAGAGCAGCAGCTGTCTACAAGATGCACATTTAAGTATGACATTTCAAAATTCAACTTAGGAAAGAAGCACATGAAGGAAGGAGTAAAGAAGTACTTACAACCTTAATGAAAAAGTATACACACAAAAACAGCTCCTATAACAAACCAACAATTAAAGGGAATTAAATGAGCCAAGTTTACTATTATAATTCTTACCACAATGCTCATACAGACTATCTTAAACATGTGGCACACAAACATTTCTTAAGACTTGGTCTTTTTAGGCTAAGTACTTAGCCTCTCTCTTCTATTTTCAAAATGTAAGATTCACGTTCATGCTACCTACCAGCATTTGCAACAAGCAACAGGGGCAGTTTTCCTCGTTCAATATCATCTTTAATCAGTTTTTCCAGGAGGGCAACATCCTGGGATTAAAAGATAAATCATAAAAACATGAGGCAACCAGCCTAAAAGTTATTCAGTGAGAAATTACAACTTCCAAAAGAAGTACCTGACTCTCAAAATTAATCAATTTTTGACAATTTTTCTAGTTTCTCTAATCATAATGTGAAAATCAAATACTTTTCCTGAAGACTAACTAAAAAAATCAGTTAAATGTTATTAAAGTTAAAAATTGCATATATATAGCCAACATTTTCTAGTTTTAAACATGTATGTTTAAAGAAAATGTTCTCTCAACCCCCCAAAACAATAAAAAATGTATCTCTAATATTATCTCTAATGCATCTGAATTAATGTATAGAAAATCAAACTATCTTGAAAAAAGAAATGCAGAAACCCAAAACCTATCCCTTTTGCTCTGGCTTCAGTATGCAATGGGAAGATCAAAGCAATAAATGAATAAGCTAAAAATTATCTGGAGGCCAGCAAACAAAACCTCAGTTAAAAAACACAGTTTCAAAACACAATTCCATATTATTTTACAAACCAAAAGGAGAACTCACCATTTGATGCTGGGATCCAAACATAGTGTTACAGGGCACACGAGATAAGCAGGGGAAGGGTAAGCCAAGCTGTAAGAAGAAACATACAGCTTTACAAGAAAACTCTTTGTCACCATTCACTTATGCCCTCAAAGGATTGTAACTCCACCCAGCCTGTGTGGCTCAGTGGTTGAGCATCGGCCTACGAACTGGGAGGTCATGGTTCGATTCTTGATCAAGGCACATTCCCAGGCTGTGAACTCAATCCCCAATGGGGGACATGCAGGAGGCAGCCTATCAATGATTTTCTCTTATCATTAATGTTTCTATCTTTTTCTTCCTTTCCCTTCCTTTCTGAAATCAATAAAAATATATATTAAAAAAAAAGATTGTGGCTCCAAGACAAGTCATAATTATTCTTTTTAAACAATCTCTGTCCTTAGGAATTCTTATTATAAATCGATGTTAAAGTACATCTAGAAAGTTAAGCCAAAAATAGGGTGAATTTCCAGGAGTTGAGATGTCTTATAAGAGGCCAGAGACAATGTAAAATCTTCTAAATTCTATATACCAAAAAACAAAACAGTTACAAACTGGAAACAATTGAACCCTGAGCATTTGGGGGCATAATTTTAGGGTCCTTCCTCCAAACATTAGTAGCACCAGTTAAAGGCATTCAAAGAATACTTTATTTATGGGTCCATCCACTCCTAAAAATCAATAAACACAGACTTGCAGAGAAATGAAGTTAGTGTTATAAAGATAGCAATTGTCACTTTTAGCTTCCAAATCCTTTAGTCCCACCTAGCTTCCAAATCCTTGAGGAGTTTATAGTTTTAGAAATTTTTAAACAGTTGCAGTCTATTGTTCTATATAACTAAACTTGGTAGAATTTAAAGACCAAAAATTTGCCCTAGCCAGTTTGGTCCAGTGGATAGAGGGTCAGCCTAGGGACCAAAGGGTCCCTGGTTCCAGTCAAGGGCACATACCTCAGGTGCAGGCTCCTCCTCGGCCCGGACCCTGGTCAGGGCATGTGCAGGAGGCAACCAATCGATATGTTTCTCTCACATTGATGTTTCTCTCTGTCTTTCCCTCTCTCTTCTACTCTCTCTAAAAAGATCAATGGAAAAATATCCTCAGGTGAGGATTAACAATAAATAAATAAATAAATAAATAAATAAAAATATAATATAATAAAGACCAAAAATTTAACAAGCACTTTATCCACACTCATTCCCCTTAAGGCAGTGGTTCTCAACCTTCCTAATGCCGTGACCCTTTAATACAGTTCCTCATGTTGTGGTGACCCCCAACCATAAAATTATTTTCGTTACTACTTCATAACTGTAATTTTGCCACTGTTATGAATCGTAAATATCTCATATACAGGATGTATTTAGGCGACCCCTGTGAAAAGGGTCGTTCGACCCCCAAAGGGGTCGCGACCCACAGGTTGAGAACCGCTGCCTTAAAGGATTTATCTTTTAAATTATGAAAATGAAACCCAAATAAAACACACAATAAAAATAAAGAGAGAGAAATTAAAAGTGAAAATGCCCCATATAAAGTACCAATCTCCAGTTAACAGGTTAGAATGTAACCTTCCAGACATTTTCTAGATACAGTTATATATTTTTCTAGTTATAAAAACACTCATATAAGCATGTAAACACTTTTTAGAACATGAACACATTAATACTGCTCTGCCACTGCCTTCCTCACTTAACAGAATACTGTCACACATCTTTTGAAGATAGGACTGCTGTCCCAAGACAGCCTCAGGTCCATAAGAGCCTGGCCTACAGTAGTACTCAATAAGCAAATTATTTCATGTTTCTATAGGGATATTACAAAACTCCCCATTTTTTTTACACCCTCAAGAATAGGACATGATTTCTTGCCACTAGTGACCACAGCTCTAAATCAACTAAGTCCTTGAATTTCCTCCATCTATCTCCCCAGGGCTCCTTCACCTTAAAAAAGACAAACCCTCCAATCCTAAGGGTTTTGCCTTAAAACATTTTTGGCCAAGAGATTTCATTTCTTTTCTCAAGGTAGCCCCCTAATTGGACTACGTGCATTATGAACTTTAAGAATGGTAATAATGCCCTTTGATCTAGTAATTCTAGATCGACTCTGAAAGTCTATCTGAGAAATATATCCCTAAATATAGACAAAGCTTTATGCACAAAGATGTCCATAATAGCAGTATGCACAATAGCACTGGTCACAGAAATGGTCATAGAAAGCAAAAGAATGCAAACACTCTAATTGTCCAAAAAGGAAGCAGTCAGTTAAAATACTACTATACACTCACTACTATATATTATGAAGACATTAAAAATAAGCTTTACTTGCCCTAGCTAGTTTGGCTCAGTGGATAGAGTGTCAGCCTAAGGACTTAAGAGTCCCGGGTTTGATTCCAATCAAGGGCACATGCCTGGGTTGCAGGCTCGATCCCCAGTAGGAGGCATGCAGGAGGCAACCAATCAATGATTCTCTCCCATCATTGATGTTTCTATCTCTCTCTCCCTCTCCCTCTCCCTTCTTCTCTGAAATCAATAAAAATATATTTTTTAAAAAAGCTTTACTTTAAATAACTGCAAAACATGATATGCACCTATTAAGTGAAAAAAGTCAGATATAACCATGTAAAGTCTTTTTGATTGAAGTCTGGAAAGAAAGAAAAATGTTGACTGTGATTGACTGCCTTTGGGTAACTAAAAAATTACATATCTAAATTCATTAATATACAATTATATGGTTTCTTATAATGACAAAACAAGCATATAAAAAACCCATCTTTCTTTTCATTTGAAAAGAATAGCAGCTAAAGAAATGCGTGTACATACTTTTAAAAGTTCCAGGACAGAACGAAACATCTAATCTTTAAAATGTCCACCTTACGCCACATTACCTGATTACAAAGATACTGGCCCAGGCCAGGCCTAGCAGCAGCACTAAGATATACGACAGGTTTCTTGTTATATAACACATTGAACCCATCCACCACAAAGTCTTCATAACGAGAATGAATGGCAAGTCTACAGATCTTTGCAAGTCCTTCTCTTTCATCTTCATGGAAATAAGCACAGCCATTTTCATACCTGTTAAGAGACACCCATATATTAATATGTTCTTATCTGGTTAACTCTGATTTTATATCCCAGTTTTGTAATCAAGGAAGTAATTATTTTCTCAGCCTAGAAACTGTCACCTAGATCAGTTAAGGAGATAGGAATCACCCTAATTTTAGATGGCTGACAACTCCTTACAGTTGGAGGTTATAAGGAACAGAGGCAATGACCCTTCATCCAGCCCCAACTCCATAAAAAGCAGCAACAATGAAATCAGTAGAGAACAGGAAGTTCCTCAAATATAAAAAGGCTGAACATCATGGTTTTGGCTTATTCTACAAGGAGGCTAGCACTGGGTAATGCAGGCATGGTTCCTGTAAGAGTTTTAGCTCTAAAACATCCAAAGTAAATAAATTGTCAAAAACACTGGTCAGGCTAACTTTTGTTTTCACTATTATCTACCTGGGACCTTTCATTCTTCTTAATCTCCTAGAGAGGAAGGGAGAGAGACTTTCAATTATAGGTATATTTTTATTATAATGGAAAAAATTTCTTCTTTGCAATATAGTTAAGCAAACTTATACTCAAGCCAGGCCAACCTCTTTCCCAACATCTGAAAGTGAGTCTCCCAAGTTAAATGTTTCAATGTTAGGCAAACATTCCTTTTCCATAAAAGTAATAACATAAAAATACTACTGGTCCAATGTCTTCTGCGGAATCCATAACTTGCTATAATTCCTTAATAAGACCATCATTATCACAGTATAAAGCAAATTTCAATTTCGTAACACACACTCATCTTCCTTATGACAGCATTTCCTTTCTACTAAAGCACAGGCTACTTTGATTAAAAATATTTTAATATGTTTCACTGCTCTACCTTCTATTGACATGTGTCAATTAGCAATTCTAAAAATAAGGAGCTGCTGACATTATCCAACATGCATGTGCTTATGTTCTGAGCTGTTTACATGTATTAATTCATTAGCTCATTTAATCCTCACAACAATGCCATAAAATAGATATTAATACTACCCCCATTTAGTAAATGAGGAAACTGAGGCATGAAGAGGTTAAGCAACCCTTCTAAGAGGAAGGGAAAGAGGCATATCTGAACCTGGGTAGTATAGACAAGATCTGTCACAATCTATACCCAACTCATTAATATCTTATCGGAAACAAAAGACTCATAATGTCTTTACCTGAAAATTCTGCACAGCCATAAGGTAGTGTCTGAAAGTATCCTAGTTGTAAGTTTTCTCAGCCTCTCTTTGTCCAGAGTTGAAATATAAGCTCCCAGACTATGCCCCAAAAGAGCTATATGACCTTGTTCTCCAATATTCTGGATTCTGTTAATCAAAATTCATTAGATTAAAAAAAGGCTTAGTAAAAATATTAAGAAATAAAACTTTGAGACAGTATTCCACAGAAATTTCTTTTCTTTTTAAAACCTCATCCGAGGATATACATACATTTTTTAGAATATATTTTTTAAATTGATTTCAGAGAGGAAGGGAGAGAGAGAGAGAAACATCAATGATGAGAGAGAATCATTGATCAGTTGCCTCTTGCTCACCCTACACGGGGGATCAAGCCCGCAACCTAGGATGTGCCCTGACCAGAATCGAACCGTGACCTCCTGGGTCATAAGTTGACGTTCAAACACTGAGCCACGTCGGTTGGGCAATATATATACAATTTTTTTAAAAATATATATTTTATTGATTTTTTACAGAGAGGAAGGGGGAGGGATAGAGAGTTAGAAACATCGATCAGCTGCCTCCTGCACACCCCCCACTGGGGATGTGCCCACAACCAAGGTACATGCCCTTGACCGGAATCGAACCTGGGACCTCTCAGTCCGCAGGCCGACGCTCTAGCCACTGAGCCAAACCGGTCAGGGCCTAAAATTTTTTTTAAACTAAGTACCAGTCATAAGAACTATGGAGGGTAGAGCTAAATGTGCAGAAAACAATTTTTTAAAGAATCATTACATGAAGATCAATTCCCCTCATTAGCTATTTATAACAATAATTTAGCAAATTCAAGGGGAACTAGGTATTGTTTTATATATAATTTAAATGGATGAACTAATTTCCCTTATAAAAAATAAGTCAATTTTTAAAAAGTCAAAAAATCAAACAGGATACTGGGCAAAAGATACAGTTGATAGAAAAGGAAATATAAACGGGTTTTAAAACATGCAAAAAGATACTTAACCTGGTTAATAAGAGAAATGCAAATTAAAATTATGCTGAAATATCATTTCTCACCTATCAGACTGGCAACAACCCTTAAATCTAACACTCTTACAGGCAAAGGTGTGGGGAAAGAGGTACTCTCACACAGTGCTGGTGGGACCATAAACTGGCACAGGTTCCATGGAAGGAAATTTGGTAATATCTATTAAAATTAGAAATACACAAGCTATCTTGCCCAGGGATCCCACTTTAGAACTTTAATCTCCAGAAATATTTGCTTCTCTAAGAAATGATACAGGTACAAAGTTATTGGCTGCAGCAATGTTTGTAAAAGTAAACCACAAAAAGGAGACTAGTTAAATAGAATATGGTTCATCCATTCAAAGTAAAACCAAACAGCTCTTTTTAAAAAAAATATATTTTTATTGATTTCAGAGAGGAAGGGAGAGGGAGAGAGAGACAGAAACATTAATAATGAGAATCATTGATTGGCTGCCTCCTATACGACCCCTACTGGGGATTGAGCCCACAACCCAGCATGTGCCCTTGACTGGAATCGAACCCAGGACCCTTCAGTCCGCAGGTCAATGCTCTATCCCCTGAGCCAAACCAGCTAGGACCCAAACATCTCTTAAAGGAGAAAACTCCTTGTGTATTGATATGCAATGAACTCTAAGACATAAATTTAAAAAGCAAGGTACAAAACAATGTGCACAGTATTTGTGTAATGGAGGGGGCGAGTAAGGACATTTTGCTTGTGTATATACACACATAAAATATCTCTGAGAAATACAACATTGTCTGTCTCTAAGGAGGAGAACAATACAGAGAGGCTGAGGTGAGGTAAGAAGGAAAACTGCCTTTGTGTATTCTTTTATCTTTGAAATTTGAACCAGAAAAAAGCATTACTTATTCCAAAAAAATAAATTTAAAAGAATTAAAGATAAAATGAAACTCAATAGCTAAACAGATGAAAATAAAAATAAAGCAAATGGATGATTCACGGCAATGGTCTCCCACCAATCAATTCAGCTGCAGCAATTCTTAGCACGCACAAGCACAAGTGCAGGAGCAGAAGCCTTGAGAAGTAGGAAAGTGCACAGCAATTGTTCTTTGGTCCTTTTGCCAGCCCCTCGCAGATATGATACCATAAAAACTGTAGAATTTAGGTTTAGTAAATGCCTTCCTTTTACAAAATATATTATGTAAAATATGTAAATTTCTCTCTGAAAAGAAAAAAATGAACATCCTCTTGATATCATATGAATGAAACATAGCTTATCGTTTCAGCAATTTGCAAGAATGCAATCACTTTCAAAATCAAGAACACATAATACTGTCAAAGAGAAGCTGCCAGCCGTTCTCCATTACCGGGCACTCTGGGGCTCCTCATCTTCATCTCCGTGCATCAGATTCTGAACTAACTGGAGGATGCTCACCATATCTTGTCCACTGCGGAATAAATAAAGACTTGATGGACAGGTGGAAATAGCACGTATCCCCCACCACTCTCTATTCTTTCATCCAAATAGCTTTGGTAAGTTTTTTTTGAGTAAGAATGTGTTTGAGATACAGTATACATCTTTTAAAAACAAGCCTCAAATTATTAACTGGAATTTTGAATACAATCTTACTTGTGATTAATTAAATCGTCTACTTAAATCTGAGATTGAAATTTTTAAATTTCACCAATATTGCTTAAGAAATATTTCTCTACCTGTTCATTTGAATCCTGGAGAATAAGCATGTCATAAGAGCCAAAATAGTCCTTATAAGATGCTAAAGGTCACAGAAGCAGCAAGAATACTCCAATGTCACTGGTATATCTAGTTTCCCTCCATGTAGACATCTTGTCTGCTTATTCTAACAGACTTAAACATGTAATGCAAGCATCATTTTTACCACTCTTCTCCAAACT